GATGCTTGCAAAACCAATCTGCAATCTCTTCAAGCACTCAGTAGGGTCGTGCAAACTCCCGAAGCAATGGAAGTAGGCCATCTTGTCACCCATCTTCAGGGGAGGAGACAGAAGGACTTCTGGCAACTGCAGGTCAATTACTCTGCTCCCTGTAGTGCCCAAAGTGTTGATAAGCCTGGTAGCTGACACTCTCTGGAAATTCCCCAACAAAGAAAACGCTGTGCAGACTGCCCAGCAAGGATTTCGGAGTAGTAGCTCCTGTGCCACCAACTTACTAACCACCTGGGTCAACTGGACACTAAGCTGAGATAACAGAAAACAGGTACATATTGTTTTTCTCGACCTAGCCAAAGCGCTTGACAGTGTCCCAGCCGCAGCTTCGCCACACAAGATGATGTCAGCCGGTAAAGGTGAATACTTACTCTCTCGGTTCAAAAAGTACCCGGAAAAGAGGCAGTTCTGCCCCAAAGTAAACAAATTAAGGTCAGAATGGGGGCCGCTGAGTAATCCTGGGACCACTTCTGTCCGTCCTGTTTGTCAGTGATCTGCCAGACAAGATATCCTCATCCATCCTCATTCCTACCCAGTAAAACCAGTCAAATCACCGGAGAAACTCCAGAGCACAAAGAAATTATAAAAATAAAAACAAACTTATTCCTCACACAAACTCGAAGATCTACAGACGAAAACTAACAAGTTGACAGAATAGACGAGGTGGCAAAGACGGGACTTTAAGTGAACGTAGAGAAGACGGAGGTGATGAAGATACCCAACCAACAACAAGAGGCACCAATCAACATTAACGGGAGAAATGTGAAGGAAGTAGTCTCTCACCTACGCCTACCTAGGCAGGGCAACATAGTTTCAACTACAGGTGGCACAGATGAGGATGTCAAAACCGGGATCGGAAAGACAGTGAGACAGACCTTCACCAATCTGAAATCACTGTGGAGATCTACTGCACTCAGCACAAAGAAGAAGATCCGGATTTTTAACACCAATCCAGTCAAGTCAGTGGTTCTATATGGTTCAGAGACTTGGTGCTCTACGAAAGTCACTTCCAACAGACTACAAACATTCATCAACAGCTGCCTCCTACGCTCACTCGATACTGGAGATGAGATCAGATGGCTAGAACTACAAGAATAGACAATAAGGAACTCAGTTCAGCTGGCAACGAACCAACCAACAACCCGTTGCCCGACAAATATGCAGTAGAGAGTGGAGATGGGTTGGGCGTACACTGAGAAGACCGAGTAGGGATATCACGCGCCAGGCCAGGTCGTCGAGTGTAATCCAAAGGAGAGACGGCGAGTTGGGCGTCTGAGGTGAGGGTGACATGGAGAAGATTATGTGAGGAAGAAATGAAAGCTTTTGGGCAGCCGTTGCACCTGGTTCAAAAGACCGCAGAGAACGGAGTGTGATGGAGGCGTGCTACTGAAGCCCTATGTTCCACTTGGAACCCAGGGGAAAAATAATGGCAGCAAGAATAATCCTCTTCGCTGACAGCATCAAAGTTTGGAGGGTGGCAAACGAAAAAGCTGACTGTACAGCACCGCAAAAGGTCTTGCAGCGACTCGAAGTCTGTTCGTCCGCAAATGGCTTTAGCTTCAACCCGGAAAAGTACAAAGTAATGCATATCAGTAAATGCCAAACTTCCAGTACATGTTGAGCAACCGAGCAACCAGAGGGTCCAAGGGGGAAGATTTTGAGATCAACTTTTCCGGCACCTTGAGCACCAGCTCAAACTACAAAGATATGGCGACCATAGCGAACGCCATCTTGCACTTCCTGCATAGAGAGATGGGCGCCTCCACCCCCGAACTCTTCCGCATCGTTTTTAATCCCTATGTGCGGCCACACCTAAAAGTCTTCATTACGGTTTCTCCCGACGCTCTAGGCAGACTCTGATCCCCTTGAGAAAATGCGAAGAACTACAATAAAATCAGTTGTGGGGCTAAGGGGGAAGGAACATCGTGAAATATTTAAACACTTAAGCCTATTCACCTCGGGTTATCATAGGAAGAGGGGCAACCTTATCGCTGTCTGCAAGATCACCCATCAGGCAGACCCCACAAACAGGTCAGCCATTTCTGCAACACATCGGTTTTAACGAGGAAACTCCGTTAAGATAGCACATCAGAGAGCCAATGCTATACTCGGGTCCAATTTCTTTTCCCTGAGAGAATGAGCTTTATGAAATGCCCTACCGCGACATATCGTCACAGCTTCCTCCAGCCGACTCATTCAAGGGACGATTAGACGGTTGTTTCACCTCGTATGGCCTACCACTGACGCACTCAGAGAGTCACCAAACTGACCAGCCCAACCTCACCTACCCCCAACTTACCACTCGCTATCTTGCTCCTTAATACACCCACATCATTATTATTAATATTAGTCCCTCGGGTTCCTAATAAAAAATAGGGCTTCAGTAGCACGTCTCCAATGCGCTCTGTTCTCTGAAATCTTTTGAACCTAGCTCCACGACGGCCCACAAGCTCTCATCTCCTCCTCGCACAATCTCCTCCATGTCATCCTCACCTAGGACGCCCAACTCGTCGCTTCCCATGAGGATTCCACTCGAGGGCCTGGTGCGTGATGTCCCCAGCCAGCCTTCTCAATGTATGCCCAATCCATCTCCATTTCCTTCTGCATATTTGTTGGATGATAGGTTCTTGGTTACTTCGTTGCCAGAGTTTCTTGTTGCTTATTCTGATTATTCTGGCCATCTGATCTTCAGCAACGAGCTGGAGGAGGCAGTTGTTGATGAATGTCTGTAGTTTGTTGGAAATGCCTTTCGTAACGCTCCAAGACTCTGAGCCATACAGAAGCACTGACTTAACTGAAAATCCGGATGTTGTTGACGCTTTATGCTGAGTGCAGTGGAGTAGATCTCCACACTGGTTTCAGGCTAATGAAGGCCTGTCTTGCTGTCTTTCCGATCCTGGCTGCTTTGACGTCCTCGTCTGTGCTGCCTGTAGTTGAAACAGTGCTGCCTAGATAGGTGAAGGAGGTTTCTTCCTTTAAGTTTCTCCCGTCGATGGTGATTGGAGCTTGTTGTTGTTGTTGGTTGGGTATCTTCATCACCTCCGTCTTCTATTCATTCACTTGAAGTCCCGTTTTCGCTGCCCAACCCCTTCTGTCGACTTGTTAGTTTTTGCCTGTAGATCTTCGAGTTTGTGCGACATCAGACACAAGTCATCGGCGAAATCCAAATCTTCTAGGTTCTTTTCCGTGGTCCAGCCGGTGTATCCCCCTCTTCTCACAGCTGCTTACTGTTTATTGCATGATCCAGTCCACTACAATCAGGAAAATCATGGGTGATAGTAGACAACCTTGTTTTACTCCTGTCTCATGTCTTCACTTCAAAAGCATCACTGAGCTTCCCATTGTGAATTACTCGTCATGTGGCGTCTTCATATAGTTGTCGAATGAGGTTGATAAAGGTTTGTGGTACTCCGTAGTGTTGATGCAGTTTCCAAATTACTTGTCGGTCAACGCTGTCGAAGGCCTTTTCAAAGTTGATGAAGTTGAGGTAGGGTTAGGGTTGACTGCCATTCTACACTCTGTTGTGTGATGATGCGTAGAGTGGCGTTGCAATTTGGTCGGGACATGATTTGTTTTTCGTGAAGCCTACCTGTGCCGGTTGTCATTTGGAATCTAGTGCGTCCTTTAGCCTCTCCAGGATGATGCGTCTTAATATCTTGCTTGCACTGGTTGGACAGGAGAGTGATTCTGCACCAGTTCTTGCAAACACTGAGGTCGCCCTTCTTCCAATCACCAGGTAAATTCTCTTCCATCCACACTTTCTGCAATAGTGCTGTGAGCATGTCCGCTGTTGTCTCTGCGTCTGTTCTCAGTGCTTCTGGCGGGATCCCATCTGGTCCTGCTGCTTTCCCACATTTCAGTAGCTTTATGGCGTTCAGGACTTCCACTTTTGTTGGAGGATTTATGTTCACTTGTCGTTCAGCGGCTGTGGGTGGTATTTTTGGAAGAAGTGCAGGTGGTGGTCGATTCAAGAGCTTCTTGAAGTGGTCGGCTCACCGTTTGCTTTGTTTCTCTTCTTTGGTAATTATATTTCCTTCTTCATCTTTTATTGGTCTCATCTGTGTTGATCTCTTCCCAGATAGCAACCTGGTTATTAGATACAATGTTGTCAGGTCTCTGTCTCTCCCACCTGCAGCCTGTTCTGCTTCACTTGCCAGTGTTTCGTAGAAGTCTTTTGTCTTTGCGTGCACTCTTCTTCACTTCTTTGTCCAGTGTTTTATACATTGTGCTCAGTTCCTCTTGTCGTTGAGCATCCTTGCACTGGTTTATCTTCTGCTTCACCATCCTCTTCTACTCTACCAGCTTCCATGTATCCGTCGATATCCATTCCCTGTCTTCTTTCTTCTTCCTTCCTAATACGGCTGTGCAGGTTTCTTTCCACATCCCTTTCAAAGACTTCCAGTGTTCTTCCACACTGGTTTCTTCAGGGATGTTCCTCGATATCTCCCATTTTGTCTTGATGGCTGTCGTGAAGATTTCCTTTGTAGTTTCATCCTTCAGTTTCCGAGTGTTGTACTTGAACTGTGGTCTGTCACTAACTTCCTTGAAGGCTTTTAACTTGATTTGGAAGGTTCCTTTCACTAGACAGTAAGTGGTGTGAACCTACATCTGCTCCCCTTCTTGACCCACACTGCCTACTAATATTTTCTAGGGAAGAGATCTACGCTATCTACTTTCACCATTCGGGCAACTCCTACACAGTTTTCTGTTTTGTTTTACCTCTTCTTTACCCCTCCTTTTCTTTCTTTCCTTTTTCTCTTCCCTTATTTTCTTTTTTCTTCATCCTTTTACCACTACCTTACCATTCCCTTTCAGTTACCTTCACAGACAGGAGTCACAACAGTCCCCTGACCTTCCCAGAAACCTGTAGCTCCCCAATCACTCTTCAAATTACAACTTACCCACAAAGCATCCACCTCACCGAGGCTAAAAGCAAGCAGAAGGGATTTCCTCGTCTACTGCAGGAGTGAACCTAACAACTCAAACCAAGACCTAAGAACTAGATAGGAGAGATCAAAAACTATCAGTTTTCTACGCTCGCACTATCAATATTGGATATTGGATATTGGAAATCCCAATGACCGTTAAGGTGTGGTAAAACAAAAGTTGTATATAAATTGGCGACGGTTAGCGCTGCTGGGTTGGTACAAAGCAGTTATCCATGGCACCCAAACTTGGCTATTGGAAAATCAGAGGGGTGAGTATCTTTTACGAGTGTAAATATTATGCAGTTATCAAATGGCGTTAGCACTTCGGACGTCCCCCCGACAGTAATCTAAGAGCCTTTCTGGTCGGAGTGGACATTTTTTTGCATTCATCTTTTATATCAAAGGTAGTCTTCATTGTTTCAAACTCCGTATGTATTCAAATATATAGGAATAAGTGCTGTGTACATAACAATATTTGAAAAAACCTGGATGAAGAACACTTTTAGCAGTAAGCTTTTACCACGTCCTACAGTTATGAAGTAGACCTTTACAGAAGATAGTCAAGTCAGATTTTAGATGAACATATTTCCTTAGGGAAATAAGTCAGTGACCGTAAGGAACTCGATATTTTAAAACGAGGATAAGTTAAATACCAGTAAAAAAATGTGATGGTAAGGTAATAGAAAATAAACAAAAAACGGTAGTAGTCTTTATTTCATTAGTGGCAAAGGGTGTAATAACACCCAAACATGTTTCTTCTGAATGCGAAGTTCGGGTTTGATCAGGCTTATTGCTACAGATCCAGATATGCGTAAGCATTGGCAAGCTATGCCTAGTACAGTTTTGGTGCTCGATATATGAAATTTAAAGCTCTGTTCGCGTCTGTGATGTCTTGTGTTTAGCGGACGCGCTAAAAACGTTTTGCCCTTTTCATTTCACTTTTTCCGTACGGAGCCAGTAATTGTTCTTGTATCCGAATACCCACCTGGTTACTCGCATATCCTGTTACTTGTTCCACAGAGACAAACTGATGCTTGCAATAGGGGCATCTGGGATTAGCACGGGTGTCCCTCAGTCCCGGGATGAGCATTGACTGACTACTACTACTACTAGGTATTGTAATACTGTTTTTTTTTAAAAATTAACTGGTGTTAACATTTCTACATGCGGAAACCTGAACAGTACTGATCTTCATACAACCCTAGCCACTCCATTTTAAACTAATAAATTAGTTATTACTTTTCGTATACAGCTGGGTACCGTGATGAAAGTTCATATGAGACTGTCGCACTTGGGATTCAAATATAGATATTGTTTCATCTAACCCGTGATTGGAGATATCGTAAACTTTAACGACTACGGTTGGTACATACTAATTCCGCACAATTCCAAATTATCCGTATCACCATTCCTTTGAGAAAGTTTAGCTTCCTTTGTAGTAGTACACATGCGCACTAGTGGGGTATGATAAATTCCAAAAGGCAAAACCTTAAATTCTGCTTATTACAGCCTAGGTTGAAGTAAAATTTAACCACTCATCTCACGTACCTTTTGACCCATCACCCTTCGTAGATTGCTTATTAAGGAAGTCCGAATTCTAGTCTTACTAATAATGCACCGAACTGCTCATTATTTTCATTTGCATAGCTCCTATGTTCAGTAGGAGTTCCGTCTACTTAGCCTTACAAAAATAGCTTGAAAGTATGCAAAATATGTGTAACATTTTTGCCAGTTTCTTCCTACTGGTCATGATGAAGACTGTCTTTAGTAGTGCTGCTCATGCTGTGCGGCTGGTAAACGATAATAAGTGAACTTTAACCATTAGTAAACATCATCTAACAACTGGATACTTCAAGTGGAAAGATCATAACCTAAATATGGTGATCGGACTATTCAAACTCAGACTACAATATTTTTATAGGCTTTAATAATTCCAGTTTATCGCTGTGGGATGTAGGAACTAATCGTTACTTCACATGCTCATAGCAGGTGTTCACCAATGATTTATAGACAGTTCAGGAAACATAATCTTCCACCCTTTAGTAAGATATGACTGGCAGTAGATACAGGAACCGTCTATGAGTATAAGTGAAGTTGAAAACGATTGGATTCGACTAAAGAATACGTGCGTCTTGCACAAACTGAATAATTTGTTTGATAAGACGTTTCACAAGTTGTAAGCGCATTTAGTCGTATCCACAGATTTCAATAGCAGTCGAATAAACTTTCGTTCTAGTTACTTTCAAAGGTCTTATGCTCGAGTTGTTAATGCAATAAAAGTACTTCATTTGCACGATGTTCGGATGATTATTCTACTCAGTATGTTCGAATTTATTTATTGTGGGAAAAAGTATACTCTGCAATAACCCCCATTTACAACCAAAGTTGCATTTATATGGTAAATTTATGGAGAAGCTTCCGAAGAATGTAGGTGTCAGTCCTCCATCCCTAACCAAAGTTGAGGAAGCTGTTTCAAAACTAAAGCAATACAATTCAGAAAAAACTGACGGTCTTCTGCTATACTTCTTGGATGTAAATGGGAAATTACTGAAAAGGGTAAATAAGATACTTGTTAGCCAGCATATGTAGAACAAAGTCTCACGAAACTGGTCCAGATCGCTGGTCATCTAATTACGTAAAGGGGACAAGTCCTCTTGTGACAACCATGGGGGATCAGCTTGATTAACATGGTGTCTAGAATCCTTGGGTTTGTCGTCACCTGACATCAAACTTGAGCTCGAAAACACCAATTTCAAGTCTGGCAAATGTTAGTCCTTCACGATTGTGCATGTATCAGATCTTCACTGCTCTACGGATTTGGGAAACAGATATACCCACTCACGTTCAATCGTTGCCATGTTTCATGACCTGAGAGCGGTATTCAGTATGCTGACTACCAAATGTGGCAAAATATATTTTGAATTAGTTGACAGTTCGCATGTTGCTTTTTCCTTGATTACAAATGAATTACTGTCGTCAACTGTCTCTTGTCTACACGAACACTTTTGTATAAAAAATTTCAACTTTATCATTTAGCTAGTACAACCTATCAGACTTCTTTTGGAATATCTCGGTGATGAATATGAAGAACGTTTGTATGGTCGCGATGAGGGAGACGAATGGCAGAAAGATAAATTCAGCTTGGGTCTGGATTTTCCTAATGTAAGTTTCAGAGCACACTCTACTAGCGTACTTATTTCAGCTCCCATATTTTATCGACGGTGATGTTAAAATAACACAATCTATGGCTATCTTACGTTATGTGTCTGATAAACACAATATGTGTAAGTTAAAATTAGCGTATGCATTTTCTCAGTGGGCAACTGTCCAAAGGAACGTGCACAGATTTCCATGCTTGAAGGAGCTATTCTGGACATTAGATATGGCGTTTCGAGAATTGCCTATAATAAGGAATATGTGAGTCGAACTTCAATTTTACTTACTTGCAGGAAAATCTCAAAGTTGACTTTCTTAATAAACTTCCTGGGATGCTGAAGATGTTTTCTGACTTTCTGTCGAGCAGAACTTATTTAAATGGAAACTCAGTAAGTTGTTTTAGTTCTACTTGTTAGTTTAAACCGCATTTGATCGATTGTTTTAAAGTACCTTTGTACACTTCATTAGAAGTTATTATGCTTAGTTATCAGTGATAGTTACATGTATATTGGTATGGAAGTTGTCAGTCGATTTTCATCCTCCATAGGACGTATTGATAGCACCTTTCATGTTTCATGTATGGTGAGTACTCATGATCAATTCTGACCATCTTTTATATTTTATGTGAATATTCTCCTACCTTAGATGTCATTTTGTAGGACCTTGTTGATAAACCGTGGGGCTGAGTTTATTCAGTGGGATATTTTACATAAACATGTGCTTCATTTACTGGACCAAGACAGCCGACTTATGTGGATCAGTAAAATACACATCAAATAGAAGTATCTTTCACATTTTCATTTCCCATCTAACTTTGGTAACAGATGTGATGCTGTTAAGATTGCGATAGTTGGACGACTTACTCTCTTTTTATTTATTCCTCTCAATGCTCATGCATTCTTATCAGCATCAGACAATTCAAAAGTGACATTCGACTCCATCAATCGAGAGCTTTTATAGCAATATCTCTCACTGAGTGGCTTGTTCATAAGTTCACCACTCTACTGAAGTCTATATACTTAAACACCTTTAGTCGTGTTAGAGGATATATTGAGCTAACAAGTGAGTATTCTTCGTTGAGTTGTGGTCGCCAATGATATGTACTCTCTGTTTTTATCTAGATTTGTCATGGATTTTCTTACAAAGGCCTTCAGATCTCTGTACGACTTTACCAGGATTCATTTTGCGACAGAAAACTCCTTAATCACCCCAGGGTATGCAGATAACATAGTCCTGTTACGTGCTTCAAGACCCTGACAACATATGGGAGTCTTTTGGGTACGATTGAAAATGTTTGTGATACATATCTCACCACCCAAGTGCAACTTCTTGCTTCAGGACTGATCTCAGTTGGGGCTTTATCCGACAATAAGAAGTGAAGCGATTGAGTGAACTGATTGTGGATGCCACCTAAGTGACGTAATTTGGTGAATATGGAACAGGCTTTTTTGTCCGAGCTGAGGACGTATGATGTACACGTCTAGTGACCAGCTACCCTGATGTCTTATGTTTACTGAAGTGAGGTTAGATTGAAAGAAAGGGTTCAAGTTAGTCAGGCTACAGTGAAGCATTAGTTTGACAGTCTATGACTTTTCCTTAACCATAAAGTGGTATGTAGGCCTCCCAGTTTACGCTTATGAGACGAGAGAAGTCGATGATCAGGAACTAGTTTTTAAAAAACCCATATGCACATAAATCCTATCTTTATTCTTTCATATCACGTTACTTTTTCCTATCCCATTTTTTGTCCGCTAACTTTCTGCAGCTTTTGGTTGTAGTGGTTTCATAGCCTCCTTTGTCTTATCGTTTTGTATCTTGATATGTTGACGCAAGTTGTTGCAACTATGACTTTAACTTAGTAATGCTAGGCCAATGTAACTCACTACTAAGTGACTAACAATGACTTGTCTATACAATTTGCCAATTGTGTTATTTCATAGTGTTGTTAGTACATCACATGCTTTCTATTTTTGTCTATATCGAAAAAACTAATTGACGTCTTTGAACTAGTGATACAAGCACATCGAAACCGACACGTCCTTTGCCTTCGGAACAATAACTATCTGTGTTCTCCATGACCAACATTAAGGCAATGTGTTGATACTGAGGATAACCATTTGCATTAGGCTGCCTTGTGTTGGAGGAACTCATTCGGTGGTTTCCATGCTCACGTTGAAAAATATTGTTATTCTGTTTCATCTGATTACCAAGTGTTGTCCATTCCATTTTACCTTTCGTTTTGTTGATACGACTTTTTAATGCTTCTGTCCATATCTCACAGCCTTTTCCAAATTATTTTCTGACTTCTAAGGTTATGTATAACGTGATGGTAATCAGACACTTATCTTGAGTTAACTTTTGCCCGTACCTGTAAACGCTATGAAACAAGTGTTATATACGTTTATAAACCTTGCAATAATTCTCGTTTTACAGATAACTCATCTTGACTTCATGTTGTACGATGCCCTTGATGTGGTTTTATACATGGACAAAAATTGCCTAAATAACTTCCCAAAGCTTGTGGAATTTAAACAACGCATTGAAGTAAGTCTATAGAATACATGGGTTTTTTCTATCTATGTTCCTCGACATATTCTCACTGTTTTCGTTTTTCTGGCTTAGAATTTGCCACGAATCAAAGCCTACATGAAGTCTGACAGGTTCATAGAATGGCCTCTTCAGGGCTGGTCGGCTGTGTTTGGCGGAGGTGATGCCCCACCCAAATAAAAGTGAAAATTTACTTTGCAACTTCGAATAAACTTTATTCTTTTGTTTAACACTTTACCTTTTTAATACATGAATCATCAATAAATGTTTGTTCATAATGCTCCTTTTTCTGATAATGAAACCATAAATTATATTCTGGTAATAATGAGCAATGCAGTTTAACTTAGTGCAAGTTTTTTGTGCCAGGCTATAAGCTACATTTATTGTCCAATGGTTCTTGATACTACTTGGTTGCTTAAACCAAAGCGGATACAGTTGGGTTTGAATTCTAGACTTACTGGTTGAAAAGCAAGTGACACCATCGATCGTGTCTATTCAACTGAGACTTCATCCAACAGTAGTCAATATATTTCATGAATGCTTAACATCGAGTAATATACACACTTTTATTTACTACCAAATGAAAGTGGACATTTTGATACACCTTTTGGAAGCAGTAGCATTGCAGAGCATATACTGGTTAAACATCAGCGAAAAACTTTCTACGGATCGCGTTCCTTTATATATATCATTAGATCTGTAAAATGTTTATTGCTGGCAGTTTCCTTGGAAGCCACCGTTGAGAATAACAACAGTTAAGTCCTCCATTAATTAGGAGATTGTAAGATTCCACGAATGTATTGAAAGCACAGGTCCATACATCGAGAGTTTCCCACTGTTCAAAACTAAATCTTATCGATCACTATGGGACAAATTTAGTGATATCATAACATTGCGTTGGAGATTTTTGGCAAGCAAGAAATAAACACTGCTGTCTAACAGATGTAAATACACGATTTTTCAAGAGACACCTTTTATTGATTGTCATTTTCTCTCCTTTAAGTGAACACAGCACGGATGCTTTCAAACTAATTTTTGCAAGAACACTGTAAAATGAAATAAAACTTTATGTTTACGCCTAGTCTAAAAATATTGCAGTATGCAGAGGTTTCGTAGAAACTAACATGTGCGAAAATTGGGTTTATCCTTCTTACAAACGCAAAATAAACTGGAATTTCAACATTTGCTCAAATCGTGTTTCTGAAATGCTATTGCCGAAGTCAGTTCAAATACCAAACAGCGACGTAAAACTTCCCATGAAAGTGCCACTCTCCCTGAAATTAAAAAGTAAAAACGCAACGGGAGAGAAACGACGTCGGTACAACCAAAAGGAATCCAAACCTTTAAAAATACATCAATGAGCACCAGTGCAGAGTTCAAAATATCAAAGGTCATATAGCATCTATAAGGAATAAGAGATTCGACAGATACCTCTCGCAGGTGTCAATCAATCAATATTAACATAAAACCAGGCATTACTGCGTAACTATCCGAGATGGCACAGCTCACACCAGTATATAAAGTAAAAGGTGAGGGAAGTTGAAGATGAAGAAAAGAAAAGAAAATCCAGTCAAAGGAAATATAGAGTAAGTGGCGAGATTCTGTATGGCGTCGTTAAGATGAGGATAACGTGTGTATACATCTGTACCACTGACATCGGTTCTCAGCCATATCCCCTAAAGTCTCCAGCCACTGGTTCCTCTTGTCCCGCGGACCCCAACCACCTAGTCTGCATCGCCCTACAGGCTCAAACCAACAGCAAAACACTTCATACATTCGTCCCATGTTTTAGTCTGGCCACCTCAGGCCTTTTTCCAGCCTGGACCTACTTCGGCCAACATTGTGTGATGAGGCAATCGGTGACTGGGCATACGTAACACGTGTCCCAACCATCTCAATCGATGAAGGTTCATAACCTTGTCAACTGATTTACCTCTACTCCTGACTTCTGCGTTACTCACGTGGTGACACCACGGAATACGGCCTATACTACGAAGGCAACGGTGGTCAAACACCTGAAGCCTTCTCATGTTTTCCACCTTCAATGGCCATGTTTCACAGCCATACAGCAGAACAGACCGGACTGCTGTGCAGTACACGCGACCCTTAATAGACAGTCGGATATCACAGAGGCACCATAGTTGGTGTAAGATGGCAAAAGCCAACCGGGCCTTTTGTATCCATGCCGAGATTTCACCGGCCACTGAGCTAGGCACCAGGGCTGATCCTACTTCCCAGATAAGTGAAGTGGTCGGCACACTCAACCACTACACTCTCTATTGTTAGCCGCGGTACCGCTGAAGACCAGTCCTGGAGCAAAAATTTGCATTTGGGTGGTGAAAACCGCGTCCCAAACATTCTCAAAGTGTTCAGAAGACTGCATCTTGTCAGCGTCTTCACTTAACAGGACTATGTCATCTGCATATTCTAGGTCTAACGAAAATCCTCCTGTGGTTAGGTCAACGTCTGTATAATTAGGTGAGGAGAGGGAGACCTCCATAAGAATATCTCCATGATAAAACTGAATAAGAATGCAGACAGTGGGCATCCTTGACGGACACCACTCGATGAGCACAGCTTCCTGGACATTTGACCAAAAACTCTAACACGCCCACAAGTGTTCGAGTAGAGGGCTTTCAATAAGGTGATGTACTCACTCGGCACGCCTTTCAGTGAGAGACATTGCTATAGGACTTCTCTACCAACAGAGTCGAATGTCGCCTTCAAGTCGAGAAATACAGCTATTGTCGGGCGTCTGTAAGCGTGCCTATGTCCCAGGACCTGGTGCAGTGTGAATATTTGGTCAATACACCCGCGGCCGGGTCTAAAGCCTGCTTGGCTTTCTCGGGCTTGCTGTTCCCGAGCTCCACTTAGGCGTCGGAGAATTATAGAACCTAGGATCTTGGACACGATATTCGTCAGGCTGGTTCCTCTGTGGTTATCGCAAGAGGACTTCTCACCTTTCTTGAAGACTGGGATAATCAGTAACTTAGACCAGTCAGACGGGATCGTATTTGACTCCAGTATATTAGTTAATACTTCCGTTAACCTGACTAAGAGCACTCTACCACCATCCTTGTATACCTCAGGAGTTAGTGAGTCTGGTCCTGCCACCCTTCCTCGTTTCAGGTGACCTACTGCTTTCTCGACTTCTCCTAGTGTTGGAGGGCCTACCTCAATGTTCGATTCCGGATCCAACTGAATAGCGAGCAGTGCAATGGTGGCCGGAGGCTAGTTAAACTCTTCCTCGAAGTGTTCTGCCCATCGTTCCAGTCGTCTACACCACGCGTGAATCGCAGATCCGTCCTTCTCCGCTATAGTCTCACTAACTGCAGTTGACCTTTCCCCCCCCCCTCCCAGTCTCCTTAATAAGTCTTAATAACTGTCTACTATTACCGATCGCCACTGCCTTTTCCATCTCTTTAGCCTTCGCTGCCCACCACTGTTCGCGATCGTTGCGTAGACTTTTCATCAGTCTACTTTTAAGTTGTGCTCGCTCTTCATTGTACTCAGAGCCTGCAGGGATGCGTTCACGTGCATCCATTAGTTCGGAAGCTGTTGATATCCACTGGCTCTTTTTAGCCACTATTTTGGAGTCGGTTACAGTCTTCAGTGCTGCTTTTACAGCAGACTGAAGATGGCACCAGCTTCTTTTGGACAAGTGATAGTCTTCTGTTCCGATAACTGCCTAGCCAACTTCTCACTGAACACGGCTTTGGTGTTTCCGTTGTCCAGCAGGACCCATAGTGGTTTTGTTGCCAAATTTTCCTCCCGTTCATTGAGAAGCAGGCATATACGTGCTCGGGCCAGCGCGTGATCGCTATCCAAACACGCACTCCAGAAGGAGCGGCAGTCTTCCACCGATCTTCTTCAGCGATGACTAATAGCAGTGTGGTTTATCTGTGTCCATCGCTGAGTTGAGCTCGGTGGACGCCACGTCAGACAGTGTCTTTCTTTATGTCTGAAATTGGTGCTAGATAAAAATAGGCGGTTATCTGAGCACAGCTATAGTAGGCGATTACCGTTATCTGTTCATTTAGCCGGGACTCCGAAAGTGCCACCTAAGTGCCTTTCTGCCTAACTCAGTCTACACATCTGTGCGTTGAAGTCACCTACAACAACCACCACGTCCGAACGTCTGGCTTTCGAAAGGAGGTTAGACAGTTTTCGGTAGAACTCGTCCTTCACTTCATCCGAACTGCAGTCAATGGGTGCGTAAGCAGAGATTACAAAGAGACAACGGCGAGTCTCATTATTCATCTGCTTGAGGCCTGTTCACACGAAGCCTTTTGAGTATGATTATTTTGAACTTTTGTATTTTTGTTGTCGGATGGTCGAAAGAAAACGATAAATGAACCAACACAGCCGGCCCGACAGACCGTGAGGGCATGGTAGAGTGTGTTATTTTTGGTGACACCAGGTTTGATTGCACAACACGTTTGACATTCTAATTACCAGTTGCCGTTTTTTTGGCAGCTTTTAGTGCATAGCTTTTAGCGTTCAGTTGTGTTAACGAAGCGAGTTTTGTAAAGCTGAACGAAACAAGGTTTAGTACAACAATGTGGTGGTCTTTTTTCATGAATATTTTACTTATTTCCATTCATTGAATCTTAATTCAGTGGGTTTTGGCTAAATTTCAAAATCTACGTCGACTGAAACTTAGATCAGTCAAATATCTACTATTCTGCAGCGTATTATGAACAAATAGACCTAGTCTGCAAATAGCTGCTTGTTTTATGAGGAAGATAGTCATCATAACTGCTGTCTCATGCAATTCCAAATAAGCATAAAGTAGTTGCTTTCCTTAGTGATATTCTTGTGTTACAAAATATTTATAGTGACTGTGTGCGTGTGTGTGTGCTTCCTTCATTAAAATGTAAGCCGTTGTTTATTCTCTGTCATTATTATTATTATTATTATTATTATTATTATTATTATTATTATTATTATTATTATTATTATTGTGAGTTACTGTTCTTCTGAGCGTTACCCCACCATACCCCATGGTCTGTCCGGCCGGTGGTGTTGGTTCATTTGTCGTTTCTTTTTCACCATCCGGCCCCAAAACAACAAAAATTCAAAATGATCATACGCAAAAGGCTGTGTGTGACAGGCCCCAAGCAGATGTCCGATGGGCTCTCCACCACACAAATCTCTTTCAGGTACCTTAAGAAGAAATAGCCTTCCATGGTGTGGGCAGCCGGGAAGTGTCAACCGCCCTCACAACTCTGTCAGCACCCAAGTTTCCTCAGACTGCTATCCACCTCCCCCATCATAA